CCTTGCTGCTCTTGGGAGGCTGCAGGGAAGCCCGTCCACCTGGCCCAGGCCACGAGAGAAGGAGGGTTCCTGTGTGGGGCAGCGAGGCACCTCCACCGCTCCCCGTGGCCCTGCACCGCAAGGGAACCACAGCGCTGGGTGCTGCATCCTGGGGCTTTCCAGGAGAGCGTAGGAGTGAGCTGGGCTCTTGCACGCAGCGAGCGCTTCATGGGCAGAGAGAAACAGCAAGTCTGAGGGCTCTTGGGCAGGGAGGGCACAAGGGGAAGTGTTCTTCTGCTGGGCTCCTTTCACCTGATGCTCTCTGTGCCTTGCCAGGAGGAGATGGTGTTTTATTACTACAGCAACTGTAGCACCCCCGTGGGCCGTTTCAAGGACCGGGTGCAGTGGCAAGGGAACATCTCCAGCTGTGATGGCTCCATTCAGCTGCAGGATGTACAGGTGAATTACAGCGGCACTTATGTGTGCGAGATCCGGCTGCTCAGGCACAGCGACATCTTCAAGAACCACACGGTGCTGCACGTCAGCCCCATGGTACAGAAAGGTAGGTGCCCTATGGCTGCTCCCCTCTCCCATCGCCCTCTTTGGCCCCACGCAGAGGGGCTGCAGAGGCTCCGGGAAGCTCTCAGACATGCCACCATGATTATTCTGGAGTAGGGCCAGGGTCCCTGTATGTACCATTCCCTGCCTTGGTGTCTCCCCAGCAGGAAGAGGAGCAGAACACACCCAGGACTCTGCAGCTCCGGGAGACACCGTGTTTTGGCCAGTGACTGTGGGTTGTGGCTGTGTGGCTGTTGTGCTGGCTTTCCTGGCCGGACTCAGCCTGAGGAAGAGGTACTAGCGCTAGCTGTGGGCTTATGGGGCTGAGCAAAGCACTTCATAGCAGCCCTCCTGCGCTGCTGTCCTTGTCCCAGCACTAGCTGGACAAGCCAGGGCTGGAGCTGTGCGAACCGGAGGGATCGTCATCCCGGGTAACACCGCTGCCCACAGCGGGGTGCACACTCCTGCTGCCCTCTAGTGTCCCGCTGCCCTGGCCTGTCCCTCCTTTGCCCCAAACCTTCTGGGCTCCCGGCATGCCAGCAGCGGGGATGACCTGACCGAGGCACACGCAAAGGGATCCCGGTGTCCCAGGAGAGGGAGGGCAGGGACTGGAGGAGTAGGCAATGCTTCTTGCCGGAGATGACACTGCCATTGCCTTCCCTCAAGGTCTGCGGCCAACACGGCACTGGAGAGGACTGGAAATGGTGGCAGCAAGAACAAAGCAGAGGTGAGAGCTGAGGCTGAGCTGAGTGGAGGGGGTGCCTGCCCTGCCCTGGGACACCGCCACAACCCGTGGGAACCGAAGACAGGGAGGAGAGGCAGAGAAGGGGAGGGATGGGCTGCACGGGGCTGCAGGGCAGGTGCCGAGCGCCCAAGGCCCGTGCACGCACGGAGCTGTGCCCTCGTGCAGCCGGCCACCCCCAGCGAGGGACGTGGCATGCACAGGAGAGCTGTGGGCTCCTTGCTGTGCCACTGGCTGCATGCGGTGGTTGGAACGAGCCCCAGGTCTGCCATTTTGTTTGGCTTGCAATTAAGAGGAGGCGCCGATGGAGCAAATGCTGCTGCAGCAGCCGAACGCCTGGGAGCCGAGAGGTTTGCCGGGGGGAGATGGGGTCCTGGACCACAGCCTCCCCTTGAGACTGAAGCCAGGGTTATCCTCACGCAGGATGGTTGCTGTCTCGTCACTAGCTAAGGCTGTGTGTCTTCAGGACACGGAGGGATCACTGACATGGGGTGCGTGGACACAGGGCTGGGGAGGCTGAAGGAGGCGATCTCACACTGGCCAAGCACGAGGTGTTGTTTTCTGGCCAGCCACGACTGGCGTTCAGTGCTGGCCCTATCACTGGGATAAGGCAGCTCTGGTGCATTTGGGGACTGCTCAGTTCCAAGCATCCTGATCTCCCTCTCACAGGAAGCACTTTACTGCTCAATCCCTGGAGCTGAGGTACCGAAGGCTGAACAGGATGCAGGGAAGAAGAAGAGAGCCGAGGACACCTACATAACCATGGTGAGGAGGCGAGCAGCTGCCCCGAGCTGTGGCAGGCATGGGCAGGGTGTGCAGCTGTAGGGCTGATGTGACTCCCTACATCACTGCTCCCCTCGCCAAGGGGACGGCATCCAGGGCCTGACCGCTCACTCCCCACGCCAGACAGCAGCATCCCTTGCCTCCTGCCCACTCCAAATGGGCCCCAATGCCTGCAGCGAGCCTCATGCTCTGTCCCTTGCTCCTTGCAGCATCCCTCTTTCTTCCGGGAGAACAGTGTCTACGTGGAGCTGGCCAAGAGGGCGATCCCGGCAGAATGGATGGGAGAGGGGAGACAGGGTGATGGACAAAGCGAGGAACAGACCAGAAGCAGCACTTCCCTGGGCTCCAATGTGGGAGAAATAGCCGTGCAGGGGGATGTAAGACCCTTAGCCAGCAGGTGTGTGCAAGACATCTTTGTTCCTTTGGGCATGACAGCATTCTGTTGCTGTCAGCCCTTCCTCTAAAAAGCGATGCCACTTCACTGTGTGCTCCGAGCCAGAGCCACTGCTGGGGCACGTCCCACCCCAGCTGTCTGCCGGGGGACCAGGGGAGACGCATCTCTCTGGCTCTTGTCTCCTGGTCTCTGGAGGGGGACACAGCCTCCATGCTCTAGCTTTGATCCCGGTCCATGCAGGTCCAGGTCCTGAGATAACGAATCTCCAAGGAGAGCCTGGCAGGAGGAGAAAGGGGGAGATGCAGCGGGAGCCATGCAGACGTGCCAATGGTATCTTCTGAAGATAATAAAACTCTGGGAGTCTTCTCTGTTCCTGGCTTCCTTTTACCTCCCGCTTAAGTGTGTGACGTCCAAGTGTGCCAAACACTGCCTGCCCCTGGGCCTGGGAGCTCCTGCACCCACGTGCAGCCTCGCACACGGCACCCGCGCCTGTCCCACTGGCTCCAGGGAGCAGTAAAGCCAAATGAGCCACAAAAGCGGTCCCTTTGCAGCAGGAAGGGGCCTGCCTGGGCTGTACTGAGCCACCCTGCTGCCCCGGCTCTGCAGGGGATGGAGGGGAGCGGAGCAGACCCCGCGGGCAGTGGTGTCCCCCATGTGTGTGTGCTCACGTGTATCTCCCATGCACCAGCCGCTCGCCATGGGTGAGCACCTCCACGCGCACCCTACACCTGGGACTCGCTGCCCTGGCCGGGAGGAATCCAGCAACCCCTCCTGGGCCTCCGGGGCAGCATCTCAGCGTGTGCTGGCTCTTCTCCTGCACTATATATAGATGTTTGACATCTCCAGGTGCAGAGCTGGGAGCCTGGGGACCACCTCCCACCCGGCTCTGCTAGATGGGAGACTGCAGCACAGGCTGCTCCGGGCTGCAGTCCTTCGTTTCACGTTGACACCCTACTCTCTTTTCCTGGATGAAGGCAAATAATGAGATTACAGGAGGAACCAGCAACCAGAGCTGGTTTTGGGGTGTCGGGGCAGGTTACGTATGACCTCCGCTGCCTCTGCGGGGTCGTGGGACCCATTGCAGCAGAGGAGAGTGGGCTCTGCCTGCCCGGCGTGGTTGGGAAACTGTGCTGCGCATGCAGTGAGTGTGTTTGCTGAGTAGGTTTCCTGCGTTCCCCCGGCACTTCTCCGATACCTTCTCTCCTGGCTGCCCTGTTTCCCCTCCTGAAGCTGGTCAGGTAACAGAGCACCTCTGCATCCCTCCTGCCTCCCCATTGCCCCATCTCTTCCTCCCCAGAGCTCTGGTGCACAGGAGCTGAAATGTGCTCTGGCTCCAGGGCACCCTTCTCCTTTATCCTCAGTGATGCTGCCGCAGCAAGCCCCACCATCCTGCGTCCTGGGACGTGAGAACTAGGTGGTCAAGCAGCTGCTGTCACTGGCTTTCCGATCTCCATGAGGTCACGTGTTGTCTCCCTCCTGCATCCATCTCTGCAGCCTGAATCCAGGCTTGGAGTCCATGACCCAGAGGCTTCCTTGACCAATGGTGTGAAGGGGACCAAAGACCTTCTCCAGCCCTGTTACTGCTGAGCAGAGCCTCCCCATCCTGAGGGCTGGAGGAGGATAGAGTGTTGCCTTGGGATAGCATGCTGCAGGGGAAAGGGGAAGGTGCCGGCAGAGTCTGGCAGCCCCGGGAAGCAAGGGGGCTGTCCTCACATCAGTACGCGAGTAGGCAGGTGCACTTCTGCTCACTGTAGGCTGCCTGCCCGTGGCTATGCCTCTGCCTGGGCACGCTGGCCAGGCTGCTGTGCAGGCTGCCTCCTTGGGACCCTCCTCTCTTCCCAGGCTAGATCAGTCCCTTTGCTCTCTGTCTGTCTTTGGGAGAGCGTTTCTGATGTCCCTGGGCACAGCTGGGCTCTCGAGAGTGGGAACCGCTGCCGTGAATGGTGCGAGCGAGGCTGGTCACCAGCCTCCTGCAGGGCAGAGGTGACACGTCTGCACGGTCCCACTGAAATAAGGGGGCTGCAGGTGCCCATGGGAGCCCTCCAGGTCAGGCCCACCCTGCAGGGCACTGGCCGAGCCCCTAGGCTCCTGGCCTCCCCAGGGGGGAAAGAGGAGCCCTGAGTGCTACTTGCTCCAATGGCAAGTTTGCCCGGCCAGAGAGAATCCTAGCAGAAACCTGCTCCTTGGCTGCCCTGGGCTCAGCACACTGCAGGAGGTGCTCTGTGCCACAGCCCACGACCAGACCTCAGAACACAGAGCCGGAGCGCCAGGAGTGTTTGCCTTCTGTTCAGGGGAAAATTTTTCTGCCCTCCCACTTCCTCTGCTGAAATCCACCAACCATAGCATTTACGGATTT